GAGGCTTTTTCGTACGGCCGAGCGGCGAAGGAACGAGTTGAAAAACAAACCGAAAGCAACGGTCTCGGAAGTATTACTGTGCAACACGACTTGTTTGCCCACAAACCAGCATCGGGAGTTCCCGCGAGGCGGTGTGGTGGTTCAGCACGCGCCACGGTCGCGAATGATCAGCGTCACGAAAAAATATTCGAGTGATGGCGACTTTTAGCGGTACGCCGTTATCGCAGTAGGTTATCGAAAATAATTCTCGGGTGACATGGAAACACGCCGTTATATAAATTTAATCAGATACTTGGGCCGTTATCGTAGCCGTTAAGCGGCACGGTCAGGTACTCTATTTAGAAAAGATTGTTGCCATCGATTCACATATTTCGGATCGGTTTGCCCGCCGACTCCCTGCCATTGATATGTTTGCGTCTCAATTGAATACTCGGCTCAATGTTGTTTCTTAGTATTATCGGCGCCTACGGTCACATGTACCAGGAATTTTTCTGTGGTTTTACGACCGTTCTCTTTTTAGGATTAGGACGTAATACTTGAACAGTGTGAACGCTTAGAACTACCGGATGGACAGTACTAATTACTACTAATTCAATATACAAATTTCCTTATCTTTTTATTGTGCCTTTTCGTACATTTTTATCAATGACTCGGTTTTTTTATGTAAATATTTTTCGAAGGAATGTCTATAAGGACAATATGAATGTCATCATGCAAATCCCATTGAACAGTGTCTTGACAGCGGCTGAAAACCGGTCGACTTAACGGTTGGTCAGAGTTCTGCGTTAATCGGATACTTTGTAGCGATATTCAATGAGCATATTCATGATATTACACTCGCTGACAAAAAGGCGGCATGCCATATGAATGGCTATTACTTTCCTTAACTTTTGAATCAGCATATTACATGGCTTTCGATGTTTATAGCATTTAATAAGAATTAGAAATTATTTTAATATAGCGTATTTAGTTTTAGTTTTATTATCAAATTATTATATTCTATTTTCTTACGTTGAAAGAAGACTAACCTCTGCTATGTCAAAAAACGGCACACTACTTTTAAAATATTTAATTTATATAGAAAAATATAATTTCAATATTCTGTGGCAACACCTTTATATTGTATAATTTTTATTAAATATTTTAGCAGAAGTTTGAATAAATATTTAATAAACCTCTGTCACAGCTATCTTCAGTTTTGTTCAATGCAAATTTTTTAGTTTTAATTTTTTCATTTATAAATTCGATGTTGATGATTTTCGAAGTACCTAATTCTAAGTGAAATTATTACGTCTTCACCTATATTTATCAGCGATTTAATATCCATGCTTCTTTCCGTAAATCGTCAAGGTAATAACAGCAATCATCCATTGCATTTAATCTAAGTTTCTGTTCGTCTGTAAAAATATCGATTCAAAACTTTTCCCTTCAATAAATATGTTTTCCAGCAAGTTACAAACGAACTTCTTCATGCACCTTGGTTAATGGTGGTTTATACGTCAGTCATTGGCGTTTTAAATATACATATTTTTGTGTAGTACATTCCATATTGTGTACGCGTGTATTTACTCCAACTTCTACTGTAATTTGTCTTACAATAGTAGCAGGCTTCGATGTTTTTATTAGTCGTTACTTTACGCTTACTATATTAGTAAGAATATAAAAATTAAGAAATAGAACAGTTTTTTCTTAAATTCTGAATTGTCGCTATTTCAACGTTGCTTAATTCCTTATTACCACCCATTACTATTAACCTCGCAAAGCTTTAACAGTGCTTTAACAGTGAAACATACTTATTGTGTTCATTGAGCATTACTTAGATTAAATAGGTCAACAACTTAGTACTGACGAAACAAAAAAGCTTCGAACCTTTACTACCATTTCAACGTAGCAATGCCCGTTAATGTTTGTAATTCTAATGGTACATTAAGTCAAGGAAGAAAACAGAAGTGTCCATCTTGATCGCAAATAGTCCATCGTTGACAAAGTTATTGTGTAATACAAAAAATAATCTTATTCAATCACAGTTGTCAAAAATTAGCGACATTCTGTAGCACACTATCTTTTTATCCTGTACAGGTATACAAGTTCAACCGCACAAAACACTATATCGAATCGTCAATCGGTACCCAATCGTTTGAATAGAAACGATCCACAGTGTTTAGCAAATCGGTGATCGCAACTTTCGGAAACCGCAAGAGTGCGGCGTCATGGTCTGTCGAGAACCATCGTTAATCACTGCGCGGGTTGCGTCGAAATTTAGCCGGTTCAGTTAAAAATTTGGGTTGCAAAAAGAATGTTGCTCCGTTTTCAAGCTCGCGATAGATATTGAATTTTTAGAAAAGGGGACAATGTAGAGAAAGGATAACACGTTAAATGCAATGTCGATATGTGTATCGAGTAAAAGGTGCTCTTCAGCGATGAAGATCGATACATATACGAGGAGCCAATGGCTATTCATCATAAATAGTAATTTTCCAATCGTTTTACATTACATAAGTCCGCAAAAATAGCCAATGTTGATCTTTTGAAACAAATCAATGCTTGAAAGCACTCTGCATCTCATTTAAGTAAAATGACTCATTATGTATCCCGCATCGGTAATTGCTGCAAAATTGTGATTAAGTTAAACTTCATTTGAATATGCTTTAAAACCTCATGGAAATGCGGTTGAATTACACTGGAGTCATCCTGTAGTATAGCTTACAATTAAACAAACGAAAATCGAATACATTTTCTTCGTTGAGATTGGAATTGTAAAAATCCTCCCGCATCGAATGTGCTAAGCGGCAGGTGCAACCTTGTGTTTCTTTCGAGAGTCTGTTCCCGCCCTCGTTTTTCTCGTTCGGCGAGCAGCTCGTTTTTCTTCCGAGGAGGGAAACGGAGCACGCACACGAACCGCGAAACCGGTAGCGGCGGTAATCGGTAATCGATGAATTCATATCACCTTCGCTAAACGCGCCTTCACTTTCTACCTCCACCGATATTGGCCTTTTATCATTTCGTTTTATCGGCCCCACGTCAAATATTGAAACTCGGATAACGTCGTTTCTTTTTCGCCAGTTCGTGTACCTTTGTTCTGGGAACAGTGGGAAGTTTTAATGACGGATACGCTTGTCGCCTACAGTTTACCGCTATTGTATTGCGTCTGGTCAAATATTTGGCCGTATATTTTGAGAAGATTTATAGGTAATGTATACTTCATTCTGTCCGACAATTTTCTGCTACTTGCCGATGTGAGTACTTATTTATTTTGAACGCTTGCACTCGTCTCGTAACTCGGACACTCCGTTAAAAGAAGGATGATAAGATTTTTTGAACCGTTAAATGTTTAGGATATTTATTTAGAATAACTTTTTTTCAATTTTTGAAGTGTTAGAAGCAAGGATCATTGAATTGGCGGGTTTCAGAGTTTGAGCGTTAATTCTACAACACCACAGCTTCATGGTCTCAGAATTCAATGCACTTATCTAGAGATGCTTAAGGAAATGTAGTTCTAAGGCAGCGTTTCAATTAACGATTTCTTAGCTTCTCATTGAGAAAATAAGGCGGCACAGATTTTGCAGCAATGAAAGACACAAAACTTTAGTTTATCAATTTATTTACGTTAGTATACTGTTACACCTAAATCTATAATGCATCTAATAGTTAATGCAATAATATCTAATAATTATTAATGCACACCCTATAAAAAGTCTAAGATAACAATTGATATTCTATAAATTTATAAATATTTAC